TGACGGATCAACACCTCATCTACAGCTTAACTGAGATTGTTTGCCACTACTTTTCCCTATTGTTCAGTGAAATAAATATTGTGGATGCTAGTTCTGTTTGAGCTGGGCACAAGGTAACTGCAAAAACAGTCACTGTCCATGATGCTTCGGGTTTTTCAGCCTTTATGTGGAAGGACCTATTTATCTGTATGTACAGAAAGGTAGCATTTTACTTAAATAAATGAATAATCATGTATGCTATACTACCCATGATGGTCTTCTAAGACAAAAAGATCTGCTATACTGAATAAAAAATGATAGTGCCGAGCAATGCATTGGTAGAAATAACACATATCAATCTTGTATTTTCCTAAACTGAAACATGTGTTTCCCACAGCACCGAATGGACTTAGGAGCACAAGACATACTGAACGTCTCACACAGTCCATTTAATCAAGTTAATTCCAGACCTAACTCAATGACTAAAGGCGGTTGCAATGGAGAGAAGTTTCCAACGTGTTAAAAGTACTTGAAAAAATTGGAGTGGCTCCAGTGCTGGGTAGAGCTGTGACACTTGTTTTTCAATCTCTTTGCTTGCTGCAAAATTTAGCTTTGCAGGTTTTTTTAGGCACAAACTGAGGCTAAAAGTGGACTTGTGCGATAGAATGCTTTAATGAGTTAAGGTAGGTTTCAGATATAGAGCTGAGGCTCTCTGCTGTTCAGGCGGTCACTCATTTCTGGCCATGCATGTTGGCTTTGGCATTTGTTGGTCCCTTGCTGCGGTAATTTGACTTTCTGAGCTACAAGAAAAGTAACTCCCCCCACCAAAGTGTATAATTTTCTGCCAAATGAATGAGTTGAATTACCTCAGAAAAATGCCTGACAAGGATGAAAGCTGGTGCAAGGAATGAAGCTGGAGGAGGTGTCTGGTGTAGGGGCAAGGGTGTGTACGGAAAAGCGGGATGGAGGAGCGGGTCCATTCCTTCGGGTAGCAGCAAGCTGTTAGGTCGGCTTGCACTCAAACTTTGGCCAAGCAGAACTTGCCTTTCATTTTCTGTTTTGCCAGGTTTCCGCCTTGAATGGGCCAAAAAATTGATATGTGCATGAAGTTTGCAGTTTCATGCAGGCACAAATGACTGAGTTTTATTAGTTGTTTTGTAGCGGTATTCATATAACTTTCTTTTTCTTAAAAAATCTCTACAGACACCTTCACCCTTCCCCTGCAACCAGACTATTGCTGTGCATTACTGATTTATTACATACGGTCTTTCTGTAGCAAACATCAGTATTAATATTTGAATAGCGATCCATCATATCTCTCCAACAAATAAAGCACAACCGATCTCATTCTGATCTCACTTACCCTGCGATAAAGCAGAAGTAATTTCACTGGATGCAAGCATTACACCAGTGTAAAACCGCTGGAGTTAGATGAAAACTGGGAATGGCAGAGAGTAACTGTATAATAAAAAGACACCAGGTCATGCTTTGAATTGTAGAATATTAAAAGGGTCTATTGTCGACACGAAATTTTTAGGTAATGAGTGTGTGGGCTTGGTGGCTGCCCCTGCCCCCGTCAGTGTGACACGTATTGCAGAGGAGCTCGCTCAGTCTGTGCACTGGATTAGAAATCAGCTGTCATTAAGCAGCGTTTCGCAGTGTAAAAGGTTCCTGGTGTGACGGTGCGCACGAGAGGCAGCCGTGGGGATTAAGCTGGCTGGTAACAAGCATTTGTATTTACCAGTCTGGTTAACTTCAGATCAGCCTTCTAAACATTTCCATGGAAACAAGGGAAGTTTTGGTTCACTGTAAGTGGCTTAATTTACTTTCTAACCGTATTAAAAATAGAATATTAAACAGAGACAAAACTAACTCTGAAACATATTTTTGATAATACAATTTTAATCAGTCATGGCATTCAGTGATTGCTTTTCCATACTCCCTGCAGTTAGGGGTGAAGCTTTCATTGAGCAGTTGCTCCTTGAATCTGCAACGGCATGAACAAAGTAAGCCAGGAAAAGAACTGTGGGATAGTTGAGGGTCTTAAATCTTTATTTTTGGTAGAAAACAATTCAATGCCTTTGTTTGTGAGCTTTCCTGGTTTTTTACAAGGCATGAAACTTGAGAGATTGGAATGTGCTTACATCCTGGAAATTTCCTATATATCTACTATTTTACTGAAATGTCGTGTGTAAATTTTGATATGACAGGATAATCACTTGTCCAGTCAAAGAGACAAAAGATATATTGATGTACTCATAGAGAAACGTACCAAAAACGCGTTTTCATTTTGCATTGGCATCTTTCAAGTCACATTATAGAAAACTAATTGTAAGAAGACTTTTTCCTGGATTTCTAGGAAGAAGTTCAGATTTCCATACAAAGAGGGGTGCTTTGGAAATCATCTGAGTGGAAACGTCCTAAACTTGTTGTAAAGCAACAACGTGAGGGGGATTGTAAGCTGACTCACGCGGGTGAGGTTCTTGCTCAAAGTGCCTGTCTGTCCCTCCCTCCGAATGCGTGCACCCAAAGACGAACTGTTCGTGTGACTCACGAGGTGTTTTCCGGTAGAAGTGATTCTTACTCCTGTAATGCTGATAATTGTTAAACATATGAACTGCTTGAACAAAACCAGCTTTAATTATGCATGAATGCTGATCAGTCTGGAAATCAATTTGGCTGACTCACACTCAAAATTTAGCGTTATTCTCTGAATTTCAATAACTCTGAGTTTTTATCTGAAGTTATATTCGAAGAGCGATCAGAGGCAGCAGGGAAATTGGCCTTGATGTTTATCTAAGCACTGGAAATGAGTATAGCCTCGCATCTATAACATCAGGGAGGAGCTTTTCCTTTCCCCTGCGGTACGGAGCTAACAGTGCTGTCCGTATTAACGCTCAAGCCTGCACAGTGCACTTCTGCAGCTGCAAAGTGGTAAAGTCACCATTTTACATAGGGGAAACCGAGACAACGAAATACTCCACGCTTTGTCCGATGTCACAGAGGCTTTTTGCAGTTGAGGGAATTAAGTTCCTGTTGCTTGAAAGCTTGATCTCAAACTTAACTTTTCACACTTTTCTCATTGCTCATCACTTTCACCCACGACGGATGAACTCCATCTATCCGGTCTACCTAGAGAAGCAATAAAGTGTCATCTACTAAACTCCGGGGCATTCTGATAATAAACCATAACTAAGAATTTCTGTTTCTATAGAAAATACGGTCAACCTTAGTTATTAAAACATGTTGTAACAGGTGGCTGGGCGTCCGGCTCCCTTTCATACCTCCCCGGAGAGGAATGCGTGCAGCTGACTGCAGGCAGCTGTGTGTGCGCTTGGAGAACTCTGTCTGACACGCCTGCAGCTCTGCAAGGGGCTTTAATCAACAGCAGAAGCAGGCGGAGAAATGCAAAGAAAATGTGACCGAAATACTCTCCTAGGTAACTATAGTATCTGGAAGAAACCCATGTGAATACATTGGCAGCGCGGTGGTATTATTTCAAGGCAGAAAACCTGAACAAACTGGACTCTGATCCTGCTGATGTATGCTTAAAAGTGAGCATGGAGTATAACGCTTTAAAATGTTTTGAGTTTTTGTGTAAACTCTCCTCCAGCTGCTGGAGTCAGACGAAATAGAAAAAGGACCTTAAGTTTTATATGAAACAAAAGGTAGGATGCTGGTCCTTGTGAATGCAAACAGGAATGCAATGTAGAAAAAAGCTCAGAAAGCGTAAGTCTGTTGTGTGCAGTGACAACTGTGAGTATTCCCAGATGGGACCATTCATGTCTTTAAAATACACAAGCTTACAGGCTGAAACCCGTATTTTTTGAATAATAACCCCTGCTTCCCTTCTCACCACAAAATATAAATTCTCATTTTTAACGTGTGACAGAAAGCTTCTTTATGTCCTTACAAGCTGAGGTCCTAAGCCCTCCCTGATAAGTCTGTGGCTCTGGGCTGGGGACAGAATTAAAATGATTTTCTGTGTACTGCAGTCATTTGGGTGGTGCTGCCGAGGTCAAGGAGAGAGATTGTAAGCTTTCGTTTCGTTCTTAAGTTGTATCAGGAGCAAAGCAAGCTAAGGAAATATTCTGAGTGGCACTGAAAAATTATAACGGTCCTCAAATGGTTTGGAAATAGAGAGAACAACTGGGGAAGGTTTAAAATGTGTGGTTTTTTCTGCGTCAACAACAGGTGCCAGAAAAATGCAAGTCAGTCGGAAGGCAGCTTTGTTCTTGACAATAGATTTTGGAGGCTTTTGCAGTTTTAATAATATCCAGATATCTCAGGCAGAGGCTGGCCGTGAAACTCTTATATAGAAATCTGAAGTATATTGAGCTCCAAGGAAAAGGATACTGTTGCAGAAGTTGCTGCAAAGAGGGTTTTCTTCCTCATAAGGTGTCAACAGCAGCATTAGACCTGAGGACTTTTCCATATGGGCAATGGGCAAGTCTGCAGTCCATTCAGTGAAGAGATGGAGCTTATCTTAGTTTTAAGTTGAACACAGGTGAATACGCAAACGTGGTGGAATGACGAAAAAAGAGCCAAGGCTGCAATGGAGCTGCACAAAGAGCAGTTGGGTACTGGTTTGTGACCTCCTTCCAGCCTGACCTTCTAAGCATCTATAGTCTTCAGAGGGCTTTGTGGGGTCCAATGCCACCAGGAGAAGCTGGATGGGGCGACCTGAGTGACCATGAGGTCTGCTTCTTCACCTTGTCCTCTCATGGCTCTGAGCAGCGCACAATCCACCAGCTCCTTGGAGACCTTTGAGGAAGAGGAGGTGCTTTATCCAGTGTCTGCACTCTGGTCTCTCATCAATCCATTTTTGAGCCTGTAATCTGAACTCTTCCTCTTTTTTCCTCCCAGTTGTTTCCATCAGTATTAATTATTCTTTCTCCTCGTGGCTTCTTTTCTATGTACCCTTCCTAGAAAGGCTTGGAGGTTTTTCTCTGTGAGAAAAATGTCTGCCAGATTTGCTAGGCATTTGTAACCAAGCAAACTGCTGGTTGGTCCTCATTGTTGATCAAATCACTAGATTATCCGCAAATAAATAGGAGACTGAAACATCTCTCTTTTATAAACTGGTGTCTGGGATTTTGTCTACTACTGGAATTAATTTCTGATGGCAATTATTGTTCCACTTAAAAATAATTAGCTTTATCTTCTACTTAGAAAATATAAATTAGGCAGTTGTCTTTGACTAGATATTCTCAGGAGCACAGGGAAGCTAAACTCACTGGTATTGAGAAGATTTCCTCTTTATTAGCTTAAAAACTCCTTCTGTAATCTGTCTAGGAACATCTGGGGAAAAATAACAATTTATGCTTATAGAAAACCATATATTTCAGTTTCTAACAAAATGCATCATTTAATTCTAGCTGATCTTAAGCATGAGTTTCACAAGCAGGGATCCCAGTGCTTTATTTCCTTTTTTTTTTTTTTTCCCCATTTAAAAAGGCTTTTTGTTGTAGGCCCCTATTTGCTGTCATCAAGTGGAAACACAGCTCTTCCAATTCCCTGCTCCCAGTATCAAACGTATTCAATTGTACAGGTCCCTGAATAGGTACAAAGTAAGCTGTTAAAAAAGCTTACAGTCATGTTCAGGTACTTCAAAGACTTCTTTCAAATATGTTTAAATGTTTTGAGAGCTTCTTTAATACCAGAGTAACCTCCGGCAAAATTTATTAACCTTTGATTTACATTCCTCATTTGATTTGCATTCCTCTTCTAAGTTATCAGTTTCTAATTTAGTTTTTCAATTTGAACCTCTGAAATAGAGATACGGGGCCAGAGTCTCAGCAGATGCAAACTGATTTGTGTTTGTTTCCAACATCTGAGAATCTGGCTTCTTACATCTTCTATAGATTTCCCCAAACGAGATATTATTGTTTTCATTCTAGAACCTTATTTTCAGTTGTATTAGTAACATCTGGCATTAACTTCATCTTGCAGTGACAGGCAATTGCTAGTTCTGAATGCAGCTGTGAACAAGCACAATATTGTTCACTTCAGTTGAGCTACGTTTGCTTTTAGCGTGGCAAACTGTCAGCGAAGAGTCCAAAAATGATTTAGATTTAACATTAATGAGGTGATGCTCTGTATTGCTTCACAGCTGTGGTCTTTTCAGACAGTATTAGGACGCTCCTACCTTCCCCACTTGTGTTTGTAAATCCTACAAAGCAAAACAGCCCGTCCTTCCTTCCTCTGAAAACATGGACTAATGCCAAGAAACAATGAACTAACACGAATCTGACAAATACAGAAAATCTTCTCGCTGGAGGTCTGTCTGTATTAACCATTAATCCTAATGGTCTCTATTGGTGGGAATGGATCAATGTCCCTTTAAAAGGCATGACTATACTCAGAAAAGTTGCCTTGGGGAAAAAATCAGCCAGCAACCCTTCTTTTTCACAGTTCCAATTTTTGTATGTTGAGTCATATCTGCCAATTGTAATGCCAGTATCTTTTTGTCTTAGTGGTCCCGCTGAGCTGGAAACACTTTGAGAGAGGGAACAGAGTTCTAATCTTTTCCATGTGCCTTTAGTGGAATATTTTACTAAGCGTCAGGTGCGAGGCCAAGCATGGCATCATGCGATGCCTTGATGGTATCACTGACCTTGTTACTCCAAGAGCTTTTATAGGAGTCAGAGGAATTATTATGGAAGGCATGCGGCCTCATTTGGACTGTGTACTGAGTTTCAGGGCTGACTTTAAAACCAGTGGTACAGAGTTGTGAAAAGCAAAAAGAAGGAGGACAAAGATGAAGGAGATGAAGAAACGTGTGAAATGATCCCACAAAAGGCACTGA